TCTAGTATATAGGGATAATTTAGTCACTGAGTTCATATCACACAACCAAATTCAAACCCTGGGGCTTTGACATAAGTACACCAGCTAACTGCATGATTACTTTCCATGTGATCTTGGCCTATAATAGAGTGATGCCATAAATAAGTACTTACATATTGCATAATATTAGTGAGTGGGGAAATATTTAATTTTCTTGGATTCCTGTTATATTGAGATTCTAATTTTGTGTGTTTTATTTTTAAGTTCTTATCTTGTGAGTCAAATTCACACACTATCATCTAGATGTGCCTCTTCTTGTTATAATTATGACTGTATATAAGAGTATGTAGATATGTGTGCTTGTATGCTGGATATATGTAAGTATATCTGTTTATGTAAATGTATCAAATTTCTTATCTTAACCATTGTCCTTCTCTTCTATGTCAAAGCTGGATGCCCTTCAAGGAAAAAAAAAAGGCCTCAGTGAGAGCCATTGTATGCAAGGTGAGTGGTTGTACTAAGATTATTATGTAATGGTCATTGGATAACACTTTCTAATACTATGGTTGCAAAGTCATGGTGGATATTGTTGCATTTGTTTCACATTTATATTCCATCATTAATACCACTAATCTGTATTAATTCATAATCCAGAAGCAAATGAATGGCCATTGACAGTGAAGTATTCCACAGAGAAGATTGGTGAAACCACTCATATCAAGGTATTTTACGCATTTTTGGATGGTGAGAGCATCATTGTGACATGTCATTATAAGTTTCATGTTGGTTATGTATATGGTAGGAAAATCAGTGAAATAAGCAGTTCCATTCAAGCAGCGGTTCCATTCTAGCATAGGTTTGGTGAGCAGTTCATCATTTGAATTGGTGGATACCATTCCATGATATGTTCTTATATGTGTCACAAGTATCTATTTTCTGAAGCTTTTCCCTTAAACCTAAAACAACTTTAGAATCTCCTAGATTAAGATGCTGAGATCAAGCACACCACCCAGAACTGTTCCCACTTCTCTCGCCTGTTTCAGACTCACGAGTACTCATAACAGAGTGCCCTACTCTTTAAGCCAATAAATGAGATAGGATCATTCTTTTTTATCATTTTTAAAATATCAAGTGCTTTAGGCTTCACCACAATTTGTAAAATGCGCCAAAGTTCTTCAGACCTGTGAGTGAAACCTGAAATATTTGGTATTTGGTTGAAGAGTGAACTGAAGATCTTGGAGAAATAACCATCTGAGGTATCCATTTTAAACGAGATCAAGTACTTCGAGAAGTTTACTGCAATACGTCACTTTTCATTAGGTAAGTAGTTTTCTATTAACTTTCTTTGAGAGGTTCTCACCACAAGCCAGAATAAGAAACCATCCAAATATTTGGGATAAATGTCGCCGTACCTTTTTTTTTTTTTTTTTTTTTTTGCTTTCCTTTTTTATGTCTGCTTTCTTCAAGCGGAAACTGTGATCTGGAATTCTACATATTTATCCTTTGTGCATGAGTTATAAAAATTGAGTACTTGCATATTGACAATGATACAAGCCCGAGGTACACAGGTAGCTTGGAACAATCTTTCAGTGCAATTCAGCTCTGTTGGTAACGGGGAGTGTGCTTTCAAATCCAGGAAAACAGTAAGTTCATGTTGATGTTGGCATATAAGAGTTACTGATGTGATTACTAAATATATCTTCTCATGGGGGAAGCTTGGTTCAAGTTTTGGGGGCCTCGGCGCCTCTATGAACTTTTGGAATTTGAGTATGTATATAGTAGTTTTAAGGCCCCTCAAACTTTTGAAATTTGTGTATGTATATAATAAGTTTAAGGCCCCTCAAACTTTGGGAATTTGTGTATGAATATAGTAATTGTAATTTTAACAATTTATATAAATGTATTTGGTAATTGAAAAAACTCCCAAAAACAATTGAGCTAACTAGTTATTGCCAATACACATGCTTTTCAAGGATGCAAAAATTGAAAAAAAAAATCCCTCAATGTTCCTCTAATTTCTATCAAAAATAAAACTCCTTGCCTTATTTACTTTCAAACCTCCTAATCATCTGAGCATCTTTCTACTTGCCATCGTCTAGATACATAATCACATCTTTGTTTATTTGCAAAAATCTTCATATCTACCTACACCAACTTTAACAATTTTACTTTCATTATGTTCTCAAGATTAGAGGTCTTATCTGAATCGAAATTAATAGGACAAGGTAAGCACTCCTATGCACCTAACTAATATAGATTCATTTGTTTTATATTTGTATCTTGGATTCTTGGCCCCCCAAGATAAAATTCCTGGCTCCACCACTTTTAATCTTCTTACAGACAGATGAGATATAAGTCTACTATAGTAATTTCTAAAGAAATCAAGTTATAAGTTACAATCATATCCAAAAGTCTACCCCATGCCTGACCACTTTGCGGATTGCAGCAATAAGTAACCGAAAAAACCCATATTCCATATATATTTTTCTTGATCATAGAAGCCATTTGTTCTGTAGTATCATTATTAGATTTTTTTTTACTCTTTAATGATCAACTCTGGGCAGCATCCCTGATATTTTCTGGAAGGTTGTAATAGTATTGGCAGATCTTCCTGTTTCTGTTTATGCCTTTAGCTTGCCAATATTTGATGACATGTACGTTCAATTTCATTTTATCCCATGTCCCATCTTTCACATAAGAACTCAGTCACCTTTATGCTGATTCAGTTTCTAACAATTCAACTTTGCCAGATACGAGTCTAGTGTATTTTCTCTGCATTTACTTGGACCATTCAGATTATCTCTGGCTGCATGCGTATATTTTCTTATTGTTGAGCATATATGAGATCCTGAGGTTTTTTTTTCCATCACAGAGCTAATATCTTGATTTGGTTCGCCCTTGTTATTTAGCTGCATAAAGATTTTTGCCACTTGCTTGCTCAGGGTGCTGTTTAAATTCCTGCACAGATGAATGTTTAAACTGATTCTTACAGAAGCAGACCCATGCCAGGATATGGGTATTCGTAGCTCCTTTCGGAAGTCACTCATTTTCCCGTTCTGAAAAAGTTTAAAAAGCTCCACAGAAACACCGCAAGCTCTGATGAGATGATGTGCACCCATTGCTAATTTCATGAGCACTGACAGTTTCCTTTTGGTTATTGAAAGTTCCCTGATGTTCTTAACTTTGTTGGTGATAGGTAAATGTTGACTAGGTACAGGTGGTCCAGATTAACAAATACACCTAGAACGTGCTTCTGAAGTACCAGTTCTGGCTCTTAACAGTTAGAGATCATCTGCAAGCATGAAGAGCTTCGGCGCCACCTTGCAAGATGTCCATCTATCAGTTCCTTAGTACTCGTTGCGAAGGGTTAATTGTAGATAGACCCAGGGTAAGCACTATTATTGGTTTTTTGAATTTGTTACCTCGCTAATTTTTCTCGACAAATAGAACCAGGGTAAGAGAGGCAAAACAAATCTCTCATGGGGTCATCTATAAGAACAAAACTAGAGGGGTAGTAAGTTCAAAACAACGATAATAAAAGCGGTCTATCCACACTTAGTCCTCGCTGAAATGCCACCATCCAACCACGAAAGGCTCGAGGAAAAAAAAGATCATTGTGACTGACACCATGGAGGGTGGGGACGAGATAATAGGTTACATTCTGTGTCAAGGGATACCTGACACTTCTGCAGTTCCTAGTGACATGTATGTCTGCTTCATGGCATTTGTGGGGTTGGGGCGGGCGGCGGGGGGGGCTTACCTCAGACTTTGCATTTATCTTGTACTTTTAAGCATGATATTGGCAGACGTGTTTCCATTTCGGGAATGAATTTGAGAATATTTGTGGAAACAACCCGAGGCTTCAAACATTCAATTGTCTTGTTGAACCATGTTGCTTATATTTTTTTTTTTCCTTCAGAATTTGATGTGATGCTCATACCGACCTGTTCATGTTTGCGCAACATGTCTAATGGTGATTTTTGTAATTGAGGAAAAAGTGTGGCCCGTTCCTTGAATGTGAAACAGGAGAATGATTGATCGTATCCAATTTTATGAGACCAATTATGTGACAGTGAAATGTTTTAGGAAAAATTGTGTCAAGGTCCCAAAAGCAACATCTTCATGTGCTGCAGCCCATTCATTTTTTCCTCATGTGGTTCAGCCCCAAAATGTGTGACATCTTGTGTTGCAATCCTCTTTTAACAATTATTACCTGCCAACTAAGCATAGAGAGGGGATAAAAAGTAAAAAAAACTCTAAAATGCTATTATCTACTCTATTCTTTCATGTTAGGTCTATTTAGAGTTCGTGTTAGGTCTATTTAGAGTTCTTATTAGGTCTAATTTCAGCTCAATTTAATTCATATTAAGTCCAATTTAATGTTAAGTAAAATTTCATGTTAAGTCCAATTTAAGTTTAATTTCATGTTTGTAGGCATATAAAATTGCTTATAGGTCCCTTAGCATAGCTGGGCACAAACCGACGAACCAACGAAGTGACGAGGTTGACGAATCGCACTGAAGTAACGGAATACATCCATTCGCGTGCGGAATCAAGCCAACGGTTCGGGGAGTCAACGAGTCATCCAACCAAGGGCAGACTCGGACGAATCACGATCGAATCAAGATCAGTTTCGGACTCGAACCCAGAAGTGGATTTACTGCCAAATTAGGAATCGGATCTACGGCCAAATCAGATCAACAAATCAGAGTCCGAATCAGCCGAATCACGGACAAAACGACGAAACAGAAACGCCTAAGGGTGGCTCGGCCAAGGTCGGCCAAGAGCCGAGCCACCCATGGGTGGCTCGGCCAAGTGCCGGCCACCCATGGGTGGCCGACCCAGATCTGTGCGCGGGCACAGTTCAGAGAGCCTATAAATAGACCCCCCTTTGTTCATTTGAAAAGGTTGGAATTTTGAGAGCCGTTACTCTGCCGAATTGAAGATTGAGCTCAGAGCTTTGAAGACTTGAGGACTTGAAGATTCAGATCTGATTCTCGGTGAGCATCCACGTCACAAAAGGCAGGAGTTCGAGAGAGGTAAAGATCAGATCTGAGATCTACACGAGATCACACTCCGGATCAAAGCTTGGCCTTTGATCCCGAGAATTAAGGGCGATTATTTCCTTGGTGAACTAATCCCCCCCGGCTATTATTTCCTTCGCGAAATAATACCTGTCGAATCGTGTAGATCCGACCGGATCTAGATCGCGCGGTGGTCCACGGATTAACCCCGGCGCAGCAGGCGAAAGAACCCACAAGCGAGCGACCGCAAAACAGGAGCTCGCTGATTTGTTCGACAAACAAGGCATTAAAAAGTTGTAATTCTTTCTTTTTCTTTTCTTTGCATTTTCATTGTAACCGCGAATCTTATAAAAAGACCGGATCCTTTGCTAACTCAAAAAAGTTTGCTTATTTAAAGTGAATGAAATCAATGAGAAAGACATGATTTTTCCGCGAACAATCTGGGCGACCACAGTGGGCAGCCCCGATCGTCGCCCCTGCCCGGATCGGAGCGTTCGCAGGCCGCGCGATCTCAATCCCGCGTCATGCGAGGAGGTCGCAGTACGATTCGACCAGCGCCTAAGTTCGCAAGGAGCCATCTTCGTCCTCCGTCCGCGATCTACCTCCCCCCGCAAGCTCCCAGAGCTCCTCCAGGAGAAAAGCTCGTTGGTTCGAAGAAGTTCAGAACGCCAACGAAGCTCTCACCCCGGCTGACGCCAAAGTTGCGCCGGGTGAAGTTCCACCGACCTCCAACGAGGTCAAACCTATTCCAGCTGACGCCTCTACTGTTAAGGGCGTTGTGACTCTCTCGAAGAGAGCCCGCCAGAGGCGACGTCAACGCCTTGCGCGGCAATTCGCTAAGGCGATGGAGTCCACAGACGGAGTCCGCTACGACGCGGATCTGAAGAATAGGAGAGGCAAACAGCCTCAACAACTGAAGAATGGCGGTTCCTCCAAGCCGCCGACGAACGAATGGATCCGGGTCAAACGGAACCGTTCGACACTCGAAGAGCGGATTCACAAACGCCGCGCATTGCTTGCACAAGCAAAAATCCTTGTGCAGAAGGCCGAGGATTTGAAGAAAGGAAGAGTGGCCAAGAAGCCGCCATCAACCCGCCAAGTGTGGAGGCCGAAGCAGCCTCCAACTAAAGTTCAACCTCCGGTGAATCAACCAAAGTCGACGGTAATCCCAATAGCTTCTCCGGGAGATCATGCAGAATCGTCCCAAAGGAAGAAGCCAGTCTTGGAGCGCCTCGGTCCGATTCCCGACGAGAGAGGCAAAGCTCCTATTCAAGATCGTTTGGGCCCGATGAAAAAGCCCCGGACGACGCAGCAGGCTGGGGGTCGCCATAACCTCCAACATGACAAAGAGACCAAGGCAGTCATGCGCACCAACTTGCGTATTGAAGTCCGGGAGCCCGCCGAGAACTCACGCCCAAAAAGACATGTTTCGAGGCGCGTGACTTTTGAAAGCCCGAAGAAGGCAGTTCCCCCTCAGAAGGAAACATTATCATCTGAGGACGATAATGTTATACCTGAGAAGTCGTGCCAACACACGATAGGTTACTCTGATCCTCAAGCAGACGAGTTGTACTATCGTGCTGGGGGTACGAATAAAACCAGAAAAAGGAGTCCCCAAAAATAGGAAACTCGGAGTCCCCGAGAACAGGAAATTCAATGTCCCTGTTCCAAACTCATTCGGGCAGTATTGTCTGAATGCAGCTGCATCAAGGCGGTCCCCGAACGAGTTTCGGTTTTCGAAAGGCTCAGTACTGAAGCGCCGAAAACAAGGCCTAGGCGTTTCCGACGAAAAAGAACGGTGGTTGAAGAGGGATAATTTCCGAGGGTCACCACCAACATGACCAGCAGAGGGACATCGGCGCGGGACAATCTCGAATCGATTCTGAAAGCATCCCG